ATTTAATTGTATATTTTTAGTGTTTTTTTTTTTCATGCTACCCTTAAGGCTATAGGGCAATAAATAACTAAATTCTAATAATTTAAATGTAATAATTATTATTATTATTATGATAATTTAACATATGACATTAAATATTTATAAAATAAAATGATTAGTTTATATCAGATCATAACCTTTGGCGATGAACATGAGATATGAAGAGATGATAGTATTAATTAATTTAAAAAAAAATCAGTTTGAGGTAAAATTACATAGTTCGTATCTTAATGATTAATAACTGTTCCATAAATGCAAAATTATTATTGAAAGTTGCTACTTTGGATGTAATTCATATAGAGCTTATTTAAGATTATTGTAAGGAATGGATATAATTAAGATCTCTAGGGGTTAAAATATTTATTGATGATTTATATATCTTTTCAGTCCTTTATTCTCTCTAATACTTTCAATATCAATTGAAAATAATAAATAACAGGTTACGAAAATAGTAATTTTTAAAATCATTCAATCCCAAAGTTTAGATATTAGTAAGTTAAATTTTATTTTTTAAATTCTTCAAATGTATCTTTCTTCTTATCTTTGTTATTAATTGTATCATTACCTTTTTCTAAACTAAATTTTACTAAAGTATTAATAATCTTTATTATGACTAAACCTGTTTATTCAGTTTATATTATAAATTTAATAGTGTATTGTATTAATAACCTTTGTTTCTAACATCTCAATATTAAGCAAATATTTAAAAGTAACAAAAATACCAATTAATTGAAAAAGTTATAAAAAAATGATTAAAATTATAATTGTAATGTTTTTAATGAATATCAAATACACTTCTATTGCTTTAGGTCTTCTAAAAAGCAACATCCTTTGAATTTAAACAAAGGCTTTAAATCTTTCCCTTAATGATTAATAAATTGTCCTTATAAGATAAGTGTTCTTGATGCTTGAAACAAAGGATTCTGGCAAATTCTAAGTATTGTACAATAAGGATTAACTAAATAATAATTAATAATTAATACCATTTGGCAATAAGGAGCTATTCGTAAGAGGTATGTTAAACTAGGCAAGCAAACCTTTATAGCTACTATCTGATTGAAGTATTTCCTTTGATGTTTTTACATTCCAAAGACGGATAGAGTTATCATCACTACCAGAAGCTAATGTATTTCCATCAGAAGAGAAATTGACGGAATATACTGTTGATGAATGGCCATCTAATATGACTTTTTATTATCCTGTCTTAACATCCCATAAACGAATTTCTTAATAACTACCAGATGCTAATGTAGTACCATCAGGAGAGTAACAAATTGAATACACTGTATTTGAATGACCATCTAATTTGGCTTTTTATTATCCTGTCTTAACATCCCATAAACGGATAGAGTTATCTGCACTACCAGATGCTAATGTAGTACCATCAGGAGAGTAACAAATTGAATAAACTGTATTTGAATGACCATCTAATTTGGCTTTTTATTATCCTGTCTTAACATCCCATAAACGGATAGAGTTATCTGCACTACCAGATGCTAATGTAGTACCATCAGGAGAGTAACAAATTGAATAAACTGTATTTGAATGACCATCTAATTTGGCTTTTTATTATCCTGTCTTAACATCCCATAAACGGATAGAGTTATCTGCACTACCAGATGCTAATGTAGTACCATCAGGAGAGTAACAAATTGAATAAACTGTATTTGAATGACCATCTAATTTGGCTTTTTATTATCCTGTCTTAACATCCCATAAACGGATAGAGTTATCTGCACTACCAGATGCTAATGTAGTACCATCAGGAGAGTAACAAATTGAATAAACTGTATTTGAATGACCATCTAATTTGGCTTTTTATTATCCTGTCTTAACATCCCATAAACGGATAGAGTTATCTGCACTACCAGATGCTAATGTAGTACCATCAGGAGAGTAACAAATTGAATAAACTGTATTTGAATGACCATCTAATTTGGCTTTTTATTATCCTGTCTTAACATCCCATAAACGGATAGAGTTATCTGCACTACCAGATGCTAATGTAGTACCATCAGGAGAGTAACAAATTGAATAAACTGTATTTGAATGACCATCTAATTTGGCTTTTTATTATCCTGTCTTAACATCCCATAAACGGATAGAGTTATCTGCACTACCAGATGCTAATGTAGTACCATCAGGAGAGTAACAAATTGAATAAACTGTATTTGAATGACCATCTAATTTGGCTTTTTATTATCCTGTCTTAACATCCCATAAACGGATAGAGTTATCTGCACTACCAGATGCTAATGTAGTACCATCAGGAGAGTAACAAATTGAATAAACTGTATTTGAATGACCATCTAATTTGGCTTTTTATTATCCTGTCTTAACATCCCATAAACGGATAGAGTTATCTGCACTACCAGATGCTAATGTAGTACCATCAGGAGAGTAACAAATTGAATAAACTGTATTTGAATGACCATCTAATTTGGCTTTTTATTATCCTGTCTTAACATCCCATAAACGGATAGAGTTATCTGCACTACCAGATGCTAATGTAGTACCATCAGGAGAGTAACAAATTGAATAAACTGTATTTGAATGACCATCTAATTTGGCTTTTTATTATCCTGTCTTAACATCCCATAAACGGATAGAGTTATCTGCACTACCAGATGCTAATGTAGTACCATCAGGAGAGTAACAAATTGAATAAACTGTATTTGAATGACCATCTAATTTGGCTTTTTATTATCCTGTCTTAACATCCCATAAACGGATAGAGTTATCTGCACTACCAGATGCTAATGTAGTACCATCAGGAGAGTAACAAATTGAATAAACTGTATTTGAATGACCATCTAATTTGGCTTTTTATTATCCTGTCTTAACATCCCATAAACGGATAGACTTATCCCCACTACCAGATGCTAATGTAGTACCATCAGGAGAGTAACAAATTGAATTAACTGCATTTGAATGACCATCTAATTTGGCTTTTTATTATCCTGTCTTAACATCCCATAAACGGATAGACATATCTGAACTACCAGATGCTAATGTAGTACCATCAGGAGAGTAACAAATTGTTCTTACCCAATCTGAATGACAATCTAATTTGGCTTTTTATTATCCTGTCTTAACATCCCATAAACAGATAGAGTTATCCCTACTACCAGATGCTAATGTAGTGCCATCAGGAGAGTAGCAAATTGAAAAAACCCAATCTTCATGACCATCTAATTTGGCTTTTTATTATCCAGTCTTCATATCCCATAAACGGATAGAGTTATCATGACTACCAGATGCTAATTTAGTACCATCAGGAGAGTAACAAATTGAATTAACATCATTTGAATGACCATCTAATTTGTCTTTTTATTATCCTGTCTTAACATCCCATAAACGGATAGACTTATCTTTATAACCAGATGCTAATGTAGTACCATCTGGTGAGTAACAAATTGAATAAACTGTTGATGAATGGCCATCTAATATGGCTTTTTATTTTCCTGTTTTAAGATTCCATAAATATACAAATCTTCCACTGCTGAAAGCTAAAGTACTATTATATTTTGAGAAGCATACTGTATTTACTCCTCCATTTACCTTAATTCTAGACTTAATTTTTGCTGCTTTAACATCCCACAATATAATCGAATTATCATCACTACAAGAAGCTAATAACTTACCATCTGAAGAAAAGCATACCTATTTCACACTTCCACAATGACCATCTAATTAATTTAACTCATTTATTTTGATATTTTTCCATTTACAATTCAACAATTTAGCTTAATTCAAGTTCATTCCACTAATATCGACACTGTCAAATTCTGATCCATTGAATATGCATCTTGCAAAATTTCCACCAACTAAAGAGGTATTTCTTATCCTGATATTCTCAAAACTTTATTCCCTCAAATCCACTTTCATTTAAACTAGTAAATTAAGAGAATTCGATCCACACTAAATATATGTCTCATCTAAAGCAGTCAGATGAACTAAAAATTTTAGGAATTCTATTATCTTCTTATTCAATGATATTTTTGTGATTAGATCCTTCTTAAATTCTTCATAATCATCAATTGAGTAATTCTGTGTATTAAATTCATGATCTTTTATTATTTTGAGAACATTTGTAATTTTCTTAAGATTGCTTTTAGCAGCATCTACTTTCCAATGCTAATCAAAAGACTATAAATTGTCGTATAAAACAATGTAATTTTTGTAACTAAGTTGATTTTCAATATTTGAAATAAATTTGAGAGAATTAGAATCTCCTTCTTTTAAGAGCTTTTCTATTATTATGTAGATTTTATCATCCATACCTTCAATCAATTATAACACCTTAAACAAGTCATCTTTCTTGTTTTGAGTCATCTTTGTTAATTAAATATTGAATTTCTATTACTTTATTTTGAGTTTTATACTATGAATTAAAAATGTATCTTACACATTATTGTTTGGAAGAAATATAATTATCATTAAGATTTAAGGTAAATATAAATTATACTAGGGAAAACTTACATAGATGTTTGCATAATTGGATTCTTAACGAATATAGAATAACACAAATAATTCAAAACACTAATATATTATCTAAATCATAATTGTTCAAAAATATCAATACAAAGATTTGCTTTTATATAACCAACTTAGTAAAAATCAAAAGTAAATTGATTGTGTTATTATTTTCTGTAGTATTTTGTAAACTTCTACTTCTTAATTTATTATTTTTAATAAGAATTCTTCAAAAATAAAAGTAAATTGTTTGTGTTATATTTGCTGTAGTATTTGTAAACTTCTACTTCTTAATTTATTATTTTTAATAAGAATTCTTACGTACAATTATCAAAATTGTTTGTGTTATATTTGCTGTAGTAT